CCTTTTCAAATGGCAGCTCTTTAAATTTGTGGAATCYAACTATTTTTCCAGTTGGATCTTCTCCTACCTATACACTAGGTTTCTCAGAGCTCCAGTTCTCTTCGAGGCTAGAAAAGGCATGCCAAGCCCAAGGACTAACCATTTTGCTTCTCCTCTGTGAAGTCGACGTACTTCCCTCAAGAGGTAATTGGTTGAAGTGCAAAACAGCTGCACAGGTACCTATTTTTAGAGCCTTTTGAGAATATGATCCATGCAGTTTTAACTAATAGATTCATTATCTTTACTTAGTAAAAGGCTTGTTAATAAAGAGTCTGATATTTAATCATCCCGAGGTTATTTGGGTAGCCCATTTGAGGAATGTGTGTCTCGTGTTTCTAGTGAAGAAGCAGCATCCTGCAACTCGTATTACCTTATGAGCACTAGGAGCTTCCTGTTGCTGTTTGCAGTCTCAGGAAAAAGCTGGAGGTTACAATGGAAGTGGAAAGGGAAATGATTGAATGAGCTTTGAAAACTGAACTACTCTTCTTTCTTCAAATTAATCCTTCTGGGCATGACTAGAAAGTAGTGTGCAATGGCAAGGAAGTCTATGTAAACTTAAGCTTTTGCTGTTCCTGGCTACATACATGTTTATTAAAGCYCATTCAGGCTTGTAAAAAGGATCTGACGCTGTTAAAGACTGTTAACTAGTAGTTAAGTACATTGTTAATGACAGTTTGCAATTTCTCATATTCTGGTTTGGTTTCATTTGGTTTTGAGAATAACACTATAGGTATTTAATCCATAATGACAAAGCACATTTTCTGACTGCTGACATTTTAAAAGACTAGATGGCTAATATTTTAAAAGTTGTAAATCTCAGCGTTTTCAAATATGTGCTTATCTTTTCTCTACAGTTTTAGATCTTACTGAGGAACAGGGTAGCTGCCATTATATGTGCAAAATAATACATATCTGGCTTAGTTTACCACCAGACTTCTGCTTTTGTAACACCACTTTTGCACAGTACAAATCTGATCAGCACATGGGATGCTAACTGGTAGAGCTATCATAGCTTATTGGTATTCTAGAGAGGAAAGCCTGTAAGCACAGTATTTCTTATCAGCAGTATTCCCGTTTCAAAAGATCAACACGTTTTGTAATGTAATAGATAAACTGTAATACGTGGGTGAGTGGGTGTGTTGCACATGGAAGCCCTGGTGAGGAACTGGGCTCTGTACACACATGTCTTCCACAAAGATCCTGCTGTCTAAGCAAAATATAAAAAGAGAGGAAAATAAGGGACCTTGGAAGACAATGATGAGCCATCGGTAGGAAATACAGAAATGGTACAAGAGAGATGGAAGGTTAAGGGAAAAAAAAAAAAAAAAAAAAAAAAAGGAAAATTAACTTTGGAGATAAAACTGTTGACTGGAGGACATCCATGATGCACTTAAAGCAGACGTTAAGCGTTGTGTATTCTGCTGAAGTAGCCTGCTCTCTAGTGTCTAATTTGCTTTTCTATACTTGTGAAATCCATTTCATGCGCTTGGATGAAAATGAGGTTTTAGTTCTTTGCTTATGTTGCGGTATGTGCAGAAAAAGAATAGGATGTGTCTTTTTTCAACAGGAACTCGGGATGACTTCTTTAATGTGAACAAGGGTGTTAGGTATTGTGAACTGTAAAAACATTTCATTGTTAGACAAGGAGAGTTAAATGTATCATTTTTAGCAATCTTCCAGATTAAGCAGCCAAGTTTTGTTCTTCCCTCTGTCGATATGACATCATTTTATTTACATTAAAAAACTATTTTAGAGCTATGTCTTGAGTTGAAACAGCTTATTCGAATGTAACAAGAATTCATAAAACTTTCTTAGAAGTTTTCATTTTTGCCTCACTAAGAGGAAGTCAAAATAAACGTTTTTCAGGCCTTTAAGTTATGTTCTTTAAATGGTGCTGTCAGGGCTTTGTTTCATTGTGTTGGCCAAAAGCACAAAGACATTAGGGAAACAGGTTAGTACATGGGGGAAAAATGAGAGAAAATGGTGCATTTGTGCAAGGGGATTGTCCGGGTTTGGTGTGTGGCAGGTTTGGGGCCGTGAAGGACAGCGTGGGAGAGCAGCCCATCAAGGCCCAGCCGAGACACTCCTTTGCTGCGATAGATAAGTTGCTGTAACAAGGTTAAAGCCGGCACTGGGAAGTGCCCCCGTAGCTGGAGCTTGGGCTGGAATTTTAATGTCTTTAGGAAGGAGGCAAGGCTGGCTCCACGTGTGTAAGCTATGAGGGGCRCGCCGTGCGGCCGTGATGCCGCGATGTCTGGGAGCGCTGCCTGGCAGTGCAGTGAAGTCGCATCTAAAAGTGTCGCCTTCCAGCGCGGGCCTTCCCGGAGCGCCCGTGAGCTCTGCAGGAGGTAGGGTTATTCTTAGAACCGCTCGCTTCCCATTCCTCAGGAAAAGCTCCAGCGAAAGGCTCACTTGTCTCTTCTCTCTCCAAGCTAGCGTTGAAAGGCTGGGCTGTTTTCTCTCTGCCCCACAGCTCAGCTGCAGCCCTTCCAGCTGCACGGGGCTCCGTGGAGAAGTGAGCGAGGGGAGGCAAAGCCTCCGTGCCCTCTAGGGCCAATTCGGGATACAGGAGCGTTATATATTTAACCAAAGAGCTTCTCTCATGGCTGCGCGGCTCCTGTGACGATAGCACAGGGTTCTTGACAGCAAGTTAGTAGGGAAGTGGAGCCTTGAAGGAAAGAGGGTATGTTGGGCCCTGAGAGAAAGAGAAGCTGCTTTTTGGGTGGAGATAGAAAATTATTAATGAGACTCAAGTAGGAATTAGTAATTACTACACTGGGAGGCGTCTGGCCACATAACTGAGCGGTCATTTGGTGGTCACAAGCCCGTATATCACCATGGTTTGTGGGTGCTCTTCTCCACGCTTGTCCCATGTCCGGTGTCTCTTCCAGACCATGAGGACACCCATTTTGAAGCACAGCATCTTCAGTGGTGGCTGGGCTGGTTCTGCTTGTGGATCTCGCACCGTTTGAGAGAKGCTTCGTGGTTGCCCCTGGACCCTGTCCTCCCACTCTAAGAGCACCCTGGGCAGCACCAGACTYGTCAGCTCCCCGGGCAGGAAGGGCAGCAGGTCGAGCCTGCTCCAGCAGCGCAGCAATCTCACCAGTTTTATTTCATCACSAAAAATAATCAATTCTGCATTAATGGTTGTGGTTAACATGGGACTACTAGTCTCTTGGCTGTTTTGAGGGACAGAAGCTAACTAACACCTCTGTCTTTTTGGTGCAATCCATTTAGTTTAGACAGAAAACAAAGATATATTTAAGATAAGACTGTCATGCCAAGCAATCTTTTTTAGTTCAGACTAAAAGCTCTTGTTAAGAGTTCTTGTTTAGAGTACTGTTTAGTCTGTCTTATGGGCACAAAAGGACCTTCTGTTCAATCCCATCTTTCTCTTAAGATCCAAGAAAGTATAAAGCAATCCAAAAAAAAAAAAAAAAAAAGAAAAAGAACTTTTCATTGTTAACATGAGCCACCAAAGTGATTTTACTATTTTTTTTACAACTGTAGTGAAGTTTTAAGCACTGGAACTTAGCTGTGGGACTGGAGATTCCCATAGCAAGCCTTAGTGTACACAGTGTGAGAAAGAGAAACGTGATCAGGGCTCTTCTTAAAAAGAGCGGAATATACACACAGCAGGGATGGGAATATCCTAGAAACAAGCAGCAGGGAGCCGAAAAAAGGAAGAAACGGTGCAGGAAATGGAGCTGCAATTCTGATTTCATCAGATAGATTGGCGGAAGCAGAAGAGAGGAGAAACCCAAGGAATTCTTTGAAAGCAGGAGAGAGCAGTGTTAGATTCACCCTTGAGCRGTAAACCAAGTTTTCACACTGAGTCTGTATTAAAGAGCTGAAGGAGCCTAGAAGTTACAAGTGAGATGTCAGCTCCTCATCATGGCTCAAATTTTGGTTTGTATTATTTGACCCAAACTTTGTTTCTTTCTTTCCTATTTCACTTTTTTTTTTTTCTTAAAACATTCTTCCTTTTGTTATACAGGTATTTATTTAAATCAAGAATAATTGGGTTGGAACCAAGCCAACACAAGAAATTATTTGTTAAACTGACCCAATTACCCAAATAATTTTACTATTTTCTAAGTGATCTTTTGGACAAATCTATTACTAAAATCTGCTTTTCTCAGCTCTGCTTGTAAGGAAGGGCTGCTCATATGGACAGTAATAAAACGGAAGAAGGGGACATCAACCCTACCTGACAAAAAATGAAGAGTCAAAAACAAATGGCACAATAGTGAAGATGCAGACACTTACAGTGCTATGTTAGTGAGACTCATGAGATACTTCTAAATAGACTTGATAGGAGGAAGGTGGAAAGCATGAAGCACAGATAAAATAGACCAATTATATTTTTAAACCATGTTCTTTATTCTCATATTTTGCTCAGTGCAGTAATGCCTTTGGAATTTATAATACAAGCATTTTCCTTTATCTTTTCTTTAAGGCACTTTTTGACYATTATTAATTATTGCTACTCAAGTGCAACAAATATGAAACAAAGTAGGTGAGCCTTTAAAAATGTAATATTGCTCTTAATCAAAAGGAAAATTTTTAAATACTGGATGAATTGGTTAAGATTGCACAAGGGCAATAACTACATTATATCTACTAAATGTTTTAACACAATTTTAATTCTGTSACTAGCAAAATGAATTTGAATTTAAAAATGAGGAAAGGGGGTGGAAGTAATGGAAGTGTAAGGTCAATGAGTGATTCCATAAGAGCCTTGAACTGGCAGGTGGAGTAGAACAAACCATGAGATGGAAAGGAAAGGGAGAAATTTTTAAATTATTTTAAAATGATTTAATGAAAACCAATATTTGAATATAAAGTTTAATTTTCCTGCAAATAAGTTATGGCTATGGATGAGAAACCTTACGTTTAAATCTGGTGATTTGGAGACTCCTGCCTGGAAAGGGAGCCCAGGTGCACTACATCTGTTACAGGTCTCGGAGGACCGGCCCTGATGGCTGCTCTGTGGATGTGAACGGTGGATGTGGAAGCTGCTGCTTTGCTGCGCAGCAGGAGAGCGGGACAATATTGCAGCCTTATGATAGTAAGTGGGACTGCCATTATCCCTGGAAGAATGAATCATCTGTGATATACATTGATTTGCTGAAAAAGGAATAAAGTTTAAAAATGGTTACTCTTTTCCACTTTTTTTCTTTTAATTCCTCATTAATACTGAAAAAAAAAAAATGAGTATTGAGCCTTATGAACATAATTTTCACCTTTTTTTTTTTTTTTTTTTTTTTTTTTTTTTTTTTTTTTTTTTGGTGGGTTGAAGATGGGTTCTGCTGTCTGTGTTGAGCTTGAGATGATTCAGGAAGGGAGCATTGGGCCAGCAGGACCTGGAAAATTCTGCTTTCCCATCTTCTATCTGCCGCAGTTCCCACACTGTCTGCCACTGCCGGATGAAAGCGAGGATTTTCTGCCAGCAACTACCCTGAAAGGTAGGGAATCGCTCTTGTTTATATATAGGAACTGAGATGAATAAAGCAAAGTGCATCTACGTGACCCAGTATATTGCAACATAAAAGATAACTTCCTTTGCTCCTGACAGTCTCATCTGGTCCTCTCTGATTTTACTCATTGAAATTAAACACTGCATTAGTTAAAAAGTGCCACAGAGAGCCAAGTTGCCTGTGGTATGTGTGTTGCATCTGCCCTAGAAAAACTCAAACTAACTCAGACTAACCACACACATAGCAGGAAAGCAACGTTGCCTTCAAGGCTGCTGTGTTTAAGAGCTATTCTTTAGCCACCAGATTGCTCTTTTTATCCTGAAAATACACACATTTAAATTCAAGGAGGGAGCAAGAAAGCATGTTGTGTAGTAATGGTCAAATATTTGCAGAGAAACCTGCAGTGTGTCTTTATACAGAAACTAGGGACAGAACTTCTCCCTTTTCATAAACATGAAATTAATTCACATCTTTTTCTTTCTTCTGTAGCACTGCTGTTTATTCAGAGCRTCATAAGGCCTGTGTCCCAAATTACTTGATTCATGTCTAAACATTGACTGTACCCTAATTAATCCGTTTGTGACACAAGTTGATTTTGCCCAGCATGCTTTCCTTTGCCAGGGAAGGATGCACTAACTCTGCTGATGCCAAAGAGGTAATGTGTGTTTAACATGCATCAGCACTCACTCTCTTTTTGATAGCTGCCGATCCTACTGCACTTAATAACACACTACTAGGTTAAGGTTATACACAGCTCAGGCAATGCTAACTATCAGGGTGTGTGGTTATACTGTAATAATCACATTCTAGGGTGTGTTTCAATTTTACAGGGCAGTCATTTACTTCGAATTACCTTGTCATTTCTTACAGTTATTGTGTAATTCCATTATTAAAGAAAAAAATATAATTTGACTGTTAAGGATGCATTAAGTAACACTAATTATAATGCTTTGCRCTTAACAGGTTTTTGATGCTCACTATTTTATAAGCGTTTTGCTAATTATTCTTTACAACATCCTTGTGGGGAGCAACTAGCAATAACTTGGCCTGAAAGTTAGCAACACTGAGGCAGGCAAGTTGAGAGGTTGGCCCAACGCTCCTGTGGTTTGCCCAGGAGGTGAGTTTAGAGCTGGGATTAAYATTCAGTTGGTCCTGTCTGCTGGGTCATACTCCCACAAATCTCTTTTTTTCCCCAAACCAAATAAATAGTCTCAAGAGTTATTTCATCTTTATTACAGAAAAGAGCACAGCCTTAAAACAGCGTAAGTCAGTTCTGTGATCAATAAAACCCTGTGTGTGCAAAGAAAAGATTTGCTTCTTAAATAGTTACGGTTAAAAAATGAAATTCATATTCACCACTATTGGAGCAGATCTTTAGAGGCAACAGAAATCCAAGCAAATGTCCACCAGTTCTTTTTTTTTCTTCAAGTTTCATCAACTAATTAGTGGTTGTGAGGGAATCATCTAAGTTTCTCTTGCCGCCTTTAAGACCTTCCCAAGCTTCAATCTAACTAGTAGCTGTCGGCCTGTGATTAAATTTCTGAGCTGGCTTTGGTCCCCAGAGTGTTCAGTGCAGTAAAAAGAAATGTTTTCAGCTGCGGGCTTCCGAGAGGCTAGGTGTAAAGGAAGGGAAGATGTATCCTTTGTCACTTGTAGGTGTACCATCTACAAATAGAGAGGAAGGAGTCGGAGTAAACGCAAAGTGAGATGCCTGAAGTGGAAGCAGCTGGATGCTCAGGACTTCTGAAAAGTCAGACCGTTGTGTTTAGGTCAGTACATGGAGAACATAAAGCCCATTTCAACCGTTCTATCCAGATGAGAACTTGAAGAATAACCTTTTGTAACAAATTTATCAATATGATCAGGTTTTTAAGTATTGGAATATATTATTCTGTGTGTGTATATATATTTATGTATATGYAATATTGCATTCCAATAATACAATAGCCTGGAACATAATATGATATGGGTATCAACATAAGACTCAACTTCCACTTTCTGAAAAAGTCAAAAATATATATAAGCGTACAGCAACTTAAAACTACTTAAAACTTTTAAATGCTTGTGTTTGACAATATAGTGGATACCTTCATTTTCTGAGTGTGGATATAACRTTCATATTTATCATAGCTGGATTATTTTCAGCTACTCAACCTTTCCTGTTTGTTGACTGTTTCTTTTGGTTCCAGCATTGAGGGCATTCAAATTGAATCCTCTGGTTTCCCCATATTAAAGTTAATTACTTTTAAGCTTAGTTATCTCTGGCACGGGTATTTTGTTAACACTGTGAATACTAAATAATGATTTAAAGGGAATAGGTGACCTTTCTTTCCCAAAGGTCCTACTTTTCCAGTGGGATCATGGTGCAATACTTAGCCAACATGATCTAGTTGCCTTTGGAGGAGCTTCACCCTGGAGTATCCAAGATGATCCTCCCTGAGGCTCCTACCCTTAAAAATACATTTTTTTCTGATTCTGATAGTACTGGGTATTTTTGTCAGGACTTCATTATTCGTGATATTTTGCTACAATATAAACCTCAAGGACTTTACGATAAGACAAAACGAAAACCGTAAAATACTGCTCCCTTGGAGTTGCTGAAGGACTGTTTATTTTCCATAAACAAGAAGAAATATTTACCTAACAGCTGCATCTCAAAGGCTGATGCTGTTTCCCTAATAGTCCAAATAAAGTCTAGCCAGGGGCCACCTTGTTGAAATCTGCTCAAATAACCTTTATTTAAAAACACTACTTACCATAGATCTCTCTGGTCTGCTCTAAGAAATGCAGTCTCTGGTAAAATTAAGAAATGGATGATTCATACACCTGGAGGAGGAATTGAATATTCAAGTCACTTGTCAGGCTGGCAGCTTTAAATTATATAACAGGAAGCTTTCTATTCATATGTAATGTAACTGAATCACCACTTCTTTATTGATAATTCATTATATGTTGCTACTATCACTCTGCAGCTCTGAAATGCTTTTTGCTATAATGATTTTATACCGTACTAGTATAATGGCCTTCTGACTGTGTCAATCAGCACCACTTGCGTGTACAATAATATTATTCTGCAATCTGTCTTGGGAGAATGCTTAAAAGCTTTCTCTCATTTTCTCCATTTAACTCATGTATTATCTGAGTTTTTACATTAAATGGCCATACTTAATGTCCCATGACATGTCACCTGTTTTCTAGGGAGGATACTGATACAGTACTTACCAATTCCAGAATCTATACTAATCAAATTATACCTGCCCRCTCCAGCCAAGAGCAGTTAGTTCAGTGCATCAGCATTTAATCTGGAAAAGGAACAGCAACAATGTGAACTGCAGTTGGCTGAATGTGGGCATGGTTGATGCAATTTGTTTTGTAAAGAGGAATTAGCAGATACTGAAGTCAAGTTGAGGTACAGGGGTCAAAYTATACACAGATTTATTAGCGGAGCTCAACCTACCCTGGTAGCAGGTTTACAAAGGCAAACCCTGATCCTGCAAATATTTATCCAATTTCAGATATGCTTTGTGATAGGTAGCTCTAATGAATGAGAGTGCTTTGCTGTAAAATTGAGTATATGCATAAATTCAACAAAGTCTTGGGGGTGTTATGTCAGAGTTAACAGGGAATTCAGTCCCAGGGCAGATAACAATTACAGGTTTTCACTGCCAGAATACCTGGACATTCAAAAGAGTTACTGTAAGCACCCTCTACAGTCAGATTAATAAACTGTTTAAGACCTGTTTAAGTTTAAGTTTAAGACCTGAGATTCCAGGTTCTGCTTGCCAAAACCTTACACTGGAATTGTATTGATGTATTTAATCTGCTTAAAATAGATATTTTCTCTAATAGAATTGTATACAGTTTATCTTACTTGTTCTGATTTGGACAATAGTATGGGGCACATAACTGCTAGGTTTAAGAATAAAAGACCAAATATTTSTGAAAACTGAGCAATTTAGGGAAGGCAGGTGTCCATTCACATTAATGCCACCTGGTTGCAGAGGAGATCTCCACTCTTTGTACAGGAACGTGCAGCAAAGTCAAACTTCTGACAACAGCAAAAAAACTGAGCAGTTTCCTGCACAGTGGACCTGGAGAGGTAAAAGGCTCTCTGCAGACAAGCTGTTCTGCTCCGTGTTTAAAAGCTGGGGAATTATCACCCAACCCTCTCCTGGCTGCAGCTTTCTTGCACCACGGTGCCCTTCCTGGTGCAAGGGGGCAGAAATGGCCTGATGCCCGCGCCGGTGGTCACCAACAGATTGTTTATATGGGAGTGCAAAAATTGGGCAGAACCRGTCCGTTGGGTCACCATGGTGTGTGTCCCACCCGTGGGAAGGTGGCACCAGCCACCTCGTACCTCCCTGCGTTAGGTCACCACCGCGRAGCTCAGCAGGTCCCTTTGGCTTCTCTACTTTGCTGCGATTAGTAATTTTATGGTTTTGTTCTGACATTTGGTAGAGGCCTGAATGGTAAAACAGCTAGTAACCTGAATGGGCAAAAATACTTGCTGATGGACAAGTTAAATGGCAAAACATGAAAGGAAGGGGTAAGGCACGTGGGGCAGAGCGCTTGTTGGAAGGTAAAGATTGGCTTCCGGGGAGCGTGTTTATTTTGTAATTCAATAGAAATAAACAGTTCCTATGGCAACTGCCATATCGGCCGTGACATGCAAAATGGAGAAGCCCTTGCACAATTACCCATCACTCGCGAGGGGCGAGATAGAACTGCTTCGAGAATCCCCTTCCTTGCTGGGAGGATGCTGCCCCATCTGCAGCCCYCGAAGGAAAGGGAGGATCTGCTTCCCTCTCCATTCTCCCTGCTCCGATTGCCTCTCCTTGGAGTTCCCTCGCACCCACTTGTCCCTGAGKCTCGCGGGTCCATGGTAAAAGCCACCGTGTTCCAAGTGGCTCTTGGCCACCAAGGCTGGGATGTGGTGAGAATGATAAATCACCCTCCTCTGGCACCCAGGAAGCTCAAAGTGCTTTACTTGTGTTAATTAATCCTCGCAGCAGTCCAAGGAGGGAGGTAAGTATTATTACCCTAGGCTTTTTTTTTTTTTTTTTCTTTCTTTAAAACATTGGAGGTTGGCGTTTAAGTGTTCCCAGGGTCAGGGGGATCTGCTGGTGAAGGCTCCCGTGTCCAGCATAGAGTCCAGGTGCTGCTCAGCCCTCCCGCTTGCCCTTGCTGAACTCACGCTCCGTCGTTATGAGTTTTATAACAATATTATTGCCACGGTCCTGAAAAGGCAGRATGCTGTAGAGCACCTGGGATTGTTTCCTTTTTATTTACCTTTTGTTTTCAAATGACCCGGAGATACAGCAGAGCARCTGTCACGCATATACAGATTATAATCATATGTACACAGCAACATCTTCAAGGCTTGGGGGTTTTTTTTGGTTGCTCCACGGGCAGTCCRTGTATGTGTAAAATATCCTCGTAAAGCAGGATAGTTTAAAGCATCATGTTTAATCTGTGCATTCATGTGTGGCGTATTTTTCATACCTAGATTTGCACACACATGCTCTCTAGAAAAATATACACATATTGATGTACATATTATGCACATATACGTGCATATTGTTTTCATCACTGGATATAGCAGGTAAGACTCTGCTCTTTTTCTGCCCTTTGAAAAACATTAGTATGAATGTGCATGTTATTTATTTATTTATTCTTTGCCAGACATGGCATTTACTGAGATAATTTTAACTCCAGCACCGTATTGACAGAAGCTTGAGTTCCAAAACTGACATATTCCCCCTCCCAAAAGAAGAAATGCAGAGTCTCAATTTGTCTTTTTAA